TCTCTCTCTCTCTCTCTCTCTCCCCCTCCCTCCCTTTCTCTCTCTCCCTGCTCTCTCACTCTCACTCTTCCTTTCTCATGCACTCTTTGCCTCTCTCTCCTCCTCTGGACCCCTCTCTTGTGTCTCCCCTCTACTCTCTCCTGTTGGCCACCTCACTCTAGGTGAGTAAAGGAAGTACAATTGAAAGTCCTCATGGTATTCCGCCTTTTTCTTCTTTTTTTTGTGTCAGGAGCAGATTCTTCTGTATTTTGCAGGTTCGGGTTCCTACCTTTGATCCATTGTATGTTCCCTCAAACTTACCTGCGAGTTCTTTGCGGAGTTGAAATTACCCGTCTCTGATAATCGCGCATGGATAGTCAATGATTTTATTTCACAGTATCAATAAAAATGTATGACTATAGATGTATGTCGATTCGAAAGCAATGCCTTCTAAAAGAGGGCAAATAAGCTCAAGTTAACTGAGTGACCTTGGTCAATTACAGAACCTCTTTGCGCCTTCTTTGAAAACGGAAAGGTTAAGTAGATACTTTAAAAGGCTTTTTTCTGATCTAAACTGCCATGATTTTAAACGACTAAGGAAGGTATTGTTTTCTACATCAGTAAACTAAGCACATTACATCCAAAAGTCAAGCCCTGATATTATAGTGTGTGTGTGTGTGTGTGTGTGCACTCAAAACCACCTACTGTCTTTTTAAAAAATTTTTTATCATTTTATTAGGAGCTCATACAATTCTTATCACAATCCATACATACATCAATTGTGTAAAGCACATTTGTGCATTCATTGCCCTCATTCTCAAAACATTTGCTCTCCACCTAAGCCCCCGGCATCTACTCATTTTTCCCCTCCCTCCCTCCTGCCCATTCCCTCATAAACCCTTGATAATTTATAAATTATTATTTTGTCATATCTTGCCCTGTCCAATGTCTCCCTTCACCCACTTGTCTGTTGTCCGTCCACCAGGGAGGAGGTCACCTGTAGATCTTTGTAATGGGTTCCCCCTTTCCAGCCCACCCTCCCTCTACCCTTCCAGTATTGCCACTCACAAGAGGGCTCAATAGTGAGGCAAAAACCTACCTCGGCACATCTAATGTACCCAAAACCAAAATTTTCAAAATTATATCCAATACAAATGACTATCAAAATCTCCCTCATTCTTCAAATCTTCCTTCGAATGATAAGTTCTCCAAGAAGCTTTTTATCACCAACAACCAATCAAAAAATAATCAGTTCTTCCACTATCCTCTCATAGTGCTTTTATGACATCTCTATAATAATATTATCTCACATTACTTTGTTGTTTCATTTTGTTAATCACCTGCTTGTCTCTATGCCTCCTTGGATCATGGGATCTTCTTTGAATGCAAATTTCAAGTTTTAATTCTCTGTACACTCAAACATTGCTCTGTAAGGCACAATGCACTTGGCAGTGGGCGTTCCTTAAATAGAGAATGGTGGGGATAACCACACTGAGGTCTAAGCAAGTTGATCTCCATAAGCCCACATTAGGCTACTTGAGTTGTTCTAATATAGGATGTCCATGAACTCCCCTGGGAACTTAAAATATGAAATGTTATCTGGACTTATTTGCTACTTAAACAAATACTTTTGTAAAGGATAAACAATAGCCAGTTATTAAAAGGAGGAAAAATGTAAACTATATGATTCATCACACAAAAGTTTAATATTACATTTATAAATGTAGTAAACTAGGACTTCAAAAATATCATTTTAAAGGTGTTATATAGATACTGGAGCCCTGATGGCAAAGTGGATACAGGTTAGGCTGCTACACAAAAAGTCACTTGTCCAAGTCCATCAGCTATTCCCAGAGAGACATGTGTCAGTGTGCTCTCCTAAAGATCTTTTGCCTTGTAAACTCTACGGGGAAGTTCTACTCTGTCCTCTAGAGTCAATGTGTGTGGAATCTACTGGATTCCAATGATTTTATATAGATATTAATGTCATTAGTTCGAGTAGCAGAAATACAAAAAACACTTTCTGTAGGCCAACTTTGTGTATGAACGTGACCATAACATGAAAATTCTGGAAGTATACTAAAGAAGAAATTCCAAATCAGAAACAATAAACTGGTATTTATCAAAATATAAAACACATTAACTGAACACTAAGCATTTTTCAGTTAAGTAAATAATTGAAGGTGTTCACCAGAGAGCAACTGACCAAAGAAGCAAAATGACAAAGAGAATAATGAGGACAGGGCTGGGACTTGGAAAACAGCAATAATAGTTGCTGGTTACTGCTGGATCTAACCCAGAGTAACCATAGTACAGTCTAAGGAAACAGTGCCTGGTGCTACATTATCCTGACAATGGTTGCTCTGGGTGAGCCCATTGTAGCAGCCACTTTGTGAATCCATTTGGTTGAGGGTCTTCCTCTCCTTTCTGAGCATGGAGCATGACACCCCTCGCCTGAGACTGAACCTTTCTTATCAATGTCAGTTCATACAATAAGCCAGGTAAATAGGGATTTAATTTGTTTGCTTACTAATCCGTAGTGAACAATTCACATCCTACCTTCTAAGGAATGTTCTGGCTCTATTTCTTCCAAAACAGACTTCTTGATTCTTCTGGAAATTCAATTAAAATTCAATATTCTCCACGAACACCTAAATTTATATGCATTAACTCTTCTTTAAGTATGCCTTATTCATTTTCCAACTTCCTCATTCATTGGAGGCAACTGAAAACACCATGGTTGAGGGAAGCACACGTTGTCCTCACGGTGACCTCTTTACTCCTTATCACTTTAAGGAGAGCTTTTGCAGGAGATTTCTTGACTGCTGCTTGTAAGTGCATTAATAGTGAATTTTTAAAAAGGAAAAGAAATCCTCAACAATTCAAGATTTTCTCCATTTATCATAATGTAACTTATTCATCCAGTTGGGAAGATCTTTGTTTCCTTTATGTTAAAGTTTAATACATATGGAAGGCTGTGGTTTGTCATCTTCATCAGAAAATGTTTCAAGTCCTCTTTACTTTCAGAAAGCAAAGGGTGATGTCGTCTGTATTTTTCAGGTTGTTATGTGCCTTCCTCCACTCATGAGGCTGCTCTCTTTTCCATCTATAGACCAACTTTTTAGATGATATGCTGAGCTACTAGTTACAGGAACGGAAAGGAAAGGAAAGAAGAACCAAAAAGCCCAAGTGCACTGCATTGAGTCAATTCCAACTCCTAGTGACCAAACTCCTAGTGGAGTTTGAGGCTGAAAGTCTTCGTAGGAGAAGACAACTTCTTTCTCCCTCAGAAATGCAATGGGTTTGAATTAGTAACCCAAGACCTAACCCACAGCATCATCAGCGCTCCTTAAAGAAAGGAAGAGATGAGGTTAATAGGGTCTACAATTTAATAAAATATACAGGTAGCAATTCGTGAAGCAACAACTCAAATTTGAGGTTCAAACATAGTGCTTCCAAATAATTTTTAATCCAATAGACATACTCTTCTATATATGATTTAAAATATGAACCATCCCACTCCATTGCCAAGAAATCCTTGGCTCTTGCCAATATATTTTCAAGGTGAACCTTCCACAAAACAAAAGAAGAAAGAAGAGTAGCTATTTAGGCTGCATGTGTGCAACACCTGGTATTACTTGCATCCCAGATTTGGAGGTTTAGGTGGTTTGAAGTCAATGTTTCACAGAATACCCCAGTGAATTGGCCCCATACAAGTTTAGTGTA